GTTTATTGCGAGACAGGACGTTACAAAGTGGGATGTATCTATTACAAATATCGACGCTTACAAAGTGTGATCAGTTATGAGACATTACCACAGTAAACAGTACTTCCAATGAAATTTTAATGATATTATGACTCTACAGAAGCATTTAAGAGTGACTCTACTTGACTCGTGAAAGAGGTAGTAGTATTGTAAAATGTGAAACAGATGTACAATGGGGAAAGTCGGATGTCGCGTACCAAACGGAAATGTTGGAAGGTAAAACTCCAATGTCTCATTGTGAAACCCTAATGTCACATCGTTAGCAACAATGTTGAATTATAAAACTCAAATGTCGCCATGGTGAATAGCAATGTTGAATTACGAAACTCAAATGTCGCATGGTGAAGAACAGGGTTAAATCATAACTTGAACATCGAAAGCAAACCTTAAATTTTGACGAGGATATAACTCCGTTGATACTACTACATGAGAAATTCCTGCAATTTGATTGGCTTAGAGCAGTGGTATTTCAGCTTAATCTGAAATACCTACATGTGAAAATTACAAACCTTTTGTGGATAGTAGTATAAACAAATAATGGCATGATTTGTACGTGATATTTCGCATAAATACCACTCGTAATATTTCAAAATTGTCTCAAATTTCACTCGCTTAACGGCTCGTGAAATTACGTACAACAATTTCGAAATATCACTCTTGGTATTTATGCCAAATATCACTGCAAATCATGCTATTACCTATACTTATATCATAGGTGACGAATTACTCCTTAATTTTGGCGCGAAATTTCAGCGTTAATTTGTAATTTCACATGTGAAATTACAAAATTGCCTTGGCAACCTTCCGTACGTCTTAGTGTCAAGATGGCGACGAAGTGTTAAAATGTCATGAATGAAGATGTCAGGGCACAAAAAGACGCTTTAGAAACCTGAATACACGAAAGAGCACATCAAGAATGGCACAATTCCATGTAACATTCAAGTTTCAACATTCAACATTCAAGTTTCAACGTTCCAAGTTTTAAATCAATGAACTTTACAGAAGAATAGTTGACCTTTCGGGTAGCGAATCCGCTGTATAGTAATAGGGCGTGTGCGCAAGGAGTAACGCAAGCGAAAGGAGGTGAAAGACAGACCTGCACGGACTCCCAATGTGTTTTTTTGGTTGCGTCGCATTATCAAATGCCTTGAATTTTGGCGAGTATATAACGCCATATTTGTTTACCTCTTGCTATTTGACACTTTTTGTTTAGTATCCGTTTCACGGTTCAAGTAAAATCATTCTCTGTATGGGTAACGGCCACTAAGTATAATTACTTTCAATAGCTCACGGTTTTCTTTGTGCTCAAGTCTCTTCTGGGAATTACGAGATCATAGACCCGTGCAAAATGTGCAATAAGCCCTTTGCAGGTTTCCATTCACGTAGTACAAAACTGGCATATTGGGACGCAATAGTCGCACTGGGGCAAGACCAACAAAAGGCATGCATAATTTTATACGGTAATTTCCTTTGTTTGTCTTGTCCCAGTGCGACTTTTGCTTCCCAATATGCTGGTTTTGTACTACGTGAATGGAAACCTGCAAAGAGCCTATTTTGTACCGAAAAGAGGAGCCAATGTTGATCGCTATGTGAGCTTGGAATCGCCTGTGTGTTAACAGTTGCAATTTGAAGATTGAATCTTTTACAAATTTCTTCCAACAGCCCTTAAGGTAAAACATTATAAGGTAGGTGCAGTTAAATTGTATCTATACTATGCTAAAATAATTTACGGTGGCCCACAACTGTCACGGCAAAACCAAAAACCTCAAGGCAAAAACAAAATATCTCACGGCAAAAAAAATACCTCACGGCAAAACCGAAAACCTCACGCAAAAACAAAAACCTCACGGCAAAACCAAATACTTCACAGCAAAAACCAAATACCTCACGGCAAAAGCAAATACCCACGGCAAAACCAAAGCTATTTTGCTTTTGCTGTGAAGTATTTGGTTTTGCCGTGAGGTTTCTGGTTTTGCCGTGAGGTAGTTTGTTTTTGCCGTGAGGTTTTTGGTTTTGCCGTGAGGTATTTTGTTTTTACCGTTAGGTTTTTGGTTTTGCCGTGCGGTTTTTGGTTTGGCCGTGACAGTTGTGGGCCACAATAAAAAATTCGACCTTTTGCTACTACATTTGATATTTTCGTCAACACTTTGGATCAAGAAGCATACTGGAAATAGCGGAAACCAAATTCTGGTCTACTGTTCTTTATTTAAATTTGTCGGGTGTTCGACACTCCCCTTTAGCAGACATTTTGCACATTACCTTTAAACGTACGTCCTAATGAATGTTATACCAATGAATGAATTGCAAGACACAGGCAAAGACGAGGAGATTGTCATCACTAAGTCAAGAAACAGCGGCAAGAGGATTCAAAAAGGTAATGTAACAAGAAAAGCCGCATGGTCTAACTGCTTCTGAGGCCCGGTTCAGAAGCCGAACTTTTTATGAGCCGAACCCTGAATTCGAGTTAAGGCCAACCCAAGTTATTTAGATCGGCTGAATTGATTGAGACGCCGATTATAAATAGGGTTTCCTAGGGAAATTAAAATTAGCAAGCGTCATTTTATTCTGAACTCCTTTCGAGGCTTCTCTAGTATTTTTAGAACAAGAGACAACTCAATAGAGCGAGCAAAACTAAAAATATAGAGTATTGCAACAGTCAAGTAAATTTTCCTTGAAATATTGCGGTGAGGTTCTCTCAGCTTTGTTGGGCCAACAATGTACATAAACATAAACAAACAAACTGTATTTTGAAACTGTTTGAAAACTAGTTAAAATGTATTTTTCATGAATGATTTAAGACAGTCACTATTTTTACCTCAATTTGGGGTCTTTTTATCAGTTGTATTTTACGAATAAAACCAAAATAGTCATGGGAGTTTAAAATGTATTTGAGATCTATTTGAATACTATTTGTATAATTTAAAAGGTTTTCCCTGTATTTGAAACTACATTTTAAACAGAATACTTAAACCATATTTTTAGAACAAGGGTACTGACGAGTACTCAAAACCTTTTTCAAATACCATAATTAAACTGTGATTTAAAAAGAATAACTTTTAATCAGGGATTTAATAGGTAGTTTTTAGAAGTAAAATACAAAAATAGGTTTTAACTAGAGAGTTTAAACAGTATTTTGAAAGGAACTCCACTACCACGGTTTTAAACAGTTCACAAATAGTATACTTAAAATATGTTTAACGCACTTTCAAGAGGCCAGTTCAACTTTAAAGGTGATTTAAAATAAAGGACACAATGAAATTCTTTCAATCAGGATTTAAACATCCTATTTTCACAGTATTTTAAAGGCGAAATACCAACTATTCCGGTTTAAAAGCGCTGTTTGCTACGATCTTAGCTTACAAAAGTGCACTTCAACTCTGCGGATTGTCTGAAAACGTAGATATTACTTTTATCACGAATCAAAAATGGGTATGACTTCCTCAGGGACTGGTATGTACTTTGAAAGGCTCTGGTTCAAGTTGTCGGTGGAGCATGCGCTCTCAAGAGTATTCTTTTATGTGAGTATAACATGTCACTGAAACGTTCAAGTATACGCTTATATAGGCCTTACTTCCATCCCAACAACAGGTGCTGAAGATGGTGGAATAAACTTCCGCTGGTTTTGGCGAAAGCATTTTCTTCCACGAGAGGATGATCACCAGGATGAAGGTTTGAATTCTATCTCGAATGTTTTGTTGAAGACTTCAACCAATCATTTATTTGCTAAATCAAAAAAACAAAAAAATTACAAAAACAGAATAAATTGAATGCATGACAGATCGGTGTTATCTGATGGTCACACATAACGCACGAGAAACAGGGAAACCCTTTAGAGGAAAGTTGAAAAAGTACCGTTACTTGTAAGGTGCATTATTTGGTTAAAGATATATGGAACTCTACAGTTTGAAACATAAAATTGGTTGTTATTGGCGAGTCCAAAATACCAATTTAATATAATTTACTCGTAGGCTATTATTATTTAGAATAATTATAGTAAGAGAAGGTAGTTTTAGTCTAACGGTCAGTTATAATTACATGCAGTGTAATAAAAGGAAAACTAAAAATACATAACACGTAAGGAAATGCCTAGCATCTAAATAATATAATAAGCCGCACGTTATCTTAGTGAGTGACAGGAACGACCCGCTTTGAGAGTGTTGATATAATCTGTCAAATTTGACCAATCAGAGGGTATACCAGGAGCTAGAATACCGGAACGGGTCGTTTAAAGAAATGATTACAGGCTCCGCCGCCCCTCCTCTCCCCAGTTTCCTCCCGTTTTATTTTCGTCTTCGCGCTCTCTCAATTCAGCGGACCCGACTATCTCGGAGCCTGCAACAGGCTAGTCTAGATCGCGCAAAATTAGGCGTTTATCAATTTCAAAATTTTGTTTATTGTTGTCATAGTAATATTGATTTTACTAAAACNAGTTTGAAACATAAAATTGGTTGTTATTGGCGAGTCCAAAATACCAATTTAATATAATTTACTCGTAGGCTATTATTATTTAGAATAATTATAGTAAGAGAAGGTAGTTTTAGTCTAACGGTCAGTTATAATTACATGCAGTGTAATAAAAGGAAAACTAAAAATACATAACACGTAAGGAAATGCCTAGCATCTAAATAATATAATAAGCCGCACGTTATCTTAGTGAGTGACAGGAACGACCCGCTTTGAGAGTGTTGATATAATCTGTCAAATTTGACCAATCAGAGGGTATACCAGGAGCTAGAATACCGGAACGGGTCGTTTAAAGAAATGATTACAGGCTCCGCCGCCCCTCCTCTCCCCAGTTTCCTCCCGTTTTATTTTCGTCTTCGCGCTCTCTCAATTCAGCGGACCCGACTATCTCGGAGCCTGCAACAGGCTAGTCTAGATCGCGCAAAATTAGGCGTTTATCAATTTCAAAATTTTGTTTATTGTTGTCATAGTAATATTGATTTTACTAAAACCCACATTTTGACAAATTTCAATTTATAATCAATCATTGGTGAAAATTTTATAGCGATCAGACAAGGATAAAATCACTTTTAAAGTGATTGAAAAATATCGGTATGGCCTCTGAAAAACTATTATATCGAAACACCTTAAATACATGAGTAATGAGCTGGTGAGAAGATTATGTTGTAACTACTAGTGATTGGCTAAAGGTCGCCAGTAATGATGATTTTGTTGTTCTCGCTATTGTTACCCATAGACCAAATTAACGACGATCCAGATGGAACTAACATAAGTGAAGGTAAATAGTCATAAATGATGATAGCCATAAACAAAGAAAATATCAGTGCTAGAAAATTATAATTTATATAGGTAATAGTATGAGCTGTAGTGGTATTTGGCGATAATACCGCGAGAAATATTTCAAAATTGTCTAAAATACCACGAGCCGCGAAGCTTTTGTTGCATTTGGTCGTTTTCCGTAGTCTTTCTCGCGAAGAGCTCTGACTTGCTTTTCCCTCCGAGGACTTGAATTGTCTGCACACCATTAATTCTCTGTCCTTTGCTATGCCGGGAGATTTTACTTTCATTTTGTCTCTGGTGTCTGTTGAGAGCAGCCAACATGACCCTTAGACTATCCTGCTCATACTCAGGGCGGTCACTTTTGCGAACTTCGGCAAAAAATCACGAGAGATGCTCGTTCAGTTCTTTGGCATTGTCTCGTTTTAAAATCAATTAGGCCGTCCTTAAGATCCCATGGTTGTCGCCCACATCTTCCAAACCTTGATCCAAGTCTTCGTAGTTTTGATTGTATTTTATGTTGATGGATTTTCCGGCGAGCTGTTGTATTTCGTCCCCGGAAATTTCTAGGAACCTGGCCCCCATTTTTTTGCAAACAAAAAAACAAAGATGCGCGACTATGCTGTCGTCATGCTTACTTCGTTATAACATCGTTTTTTCAGTGTGCTATACCCCTATTACGCAGAAATACCACCATTATTAACCAATCAAATCTCAGAAATTTCTTGCCCTATATTATAAATGTAATTGTACTACTACATGAGAAATTTCTGCAATGGTGATTGGCTATAGAGCAGTGGTATTTGAGCTTAATTTGAAATACCTACATGTGACAATTACAAATAAACCTTTACGGGTTAAGTAGTATAAACAAATAATAGCATGATTAGTGCCTGATATTTGGCATAAATACCAATCCTGATATTTCAAACCTGAAAAGTCGAAAAGTCAATTGAAAATATTTTATCAATTAAGTCAATTTGTGTATTAAATGAAGGTATTTTAATTTTTCATTCTGTTAATGTCAGTTAATTTTTTGGCCGAAAAAATTCTAGGTGTCAGGCCGGTTGAGGAAGGACATAAGGGAAATTTATGGAAGGGTGTGCCGTGGAGGCCAACAAATCCTCTCATTTCATTTGTTTAATACAAGAGACCTCTTCTGTGTGCCCAAATACTCCATAACGCTTGGTTAAAGAACATCTCCTTTGTTTCTTTAATCTGGAGTTAAGGAGCTTTTTCAGTGATAAACACTGATCACACTACACAGCATTTAGACTCTTGCTACCTTCAAGATTCAAACCCTATTCAAGGCATTGGGTCTAGAAAGGTGCCCTGTTTAAGACGCTAAGTAACGAAATTGCATGCCCCTTAATTTGGAAACCGAGACCTTTCAAAAAAATTGTCTGTTTGGCGGCACATACGCGTTAGAGGCCCCGGGCTAGCAGCAAAATCGTTCTGCATTGAAATGGCTGGAGTCATATCAATAATTTTCTTAGTTAACCGAATTCATCCTTAGATGCGCTAATCTGCAGGAAATTTTTGTTTATAACATTGCAGCCGAGCTGAAAATTAGAGGCACTCTAAAGGCCATTTATAACGCATCTCTAGACAAAATAGAAGAGGCTTTCACCGCCAATAATTTGTGCCGCTGTAAAAATCCGGNTTTTTCAGTGATAAACACTGATCACACTACACAGCATTTAGACTCTTGCTACCTTCAAGATTCAAACCCTATTCAAGGCATTGGGTCTAGAAAGGTGCCCTGTTTAAGACGCTAAGTAACGAAATTGCATGCCCCTTAATTTGGAAACCGAGACCTTTCAAAAAAATTGTCTGTTTGGCGGCACATACGCGTTAGAGGCCCCGGGCTAGCAGCAAAATCGTTCTGCATTGAAATGGCTGGAGTCATATCAATAATTTTCTTAGTTAACCGAATTCATCCTTAGATGCGCTAATCTGCAGGAAATTTTTGTTTATAACATTGCAGCCGAGCTGAAAATTAGAGGCACTCTAAAGGCCATTTATAACGCATCTCTAGACAAAATAGAAGAGGCTTTCACCGCCAATAATTTGTGCCGCTGTAAAAATCCGGTTACAACAGCTTTTGAGGTTAGTCTGTATCAGCATCAATCCTCTTATATAGACGCTTACAAGTGATTTGGGAGCGGAGATATTTTGAGAGCAAAAAATCATGGTAAGACACTAGTTTGAGCAGAAAACCCACCTACGGCCATCTTTTTCTATTTTCTGTGAGAAAACGTTTAAAAAATCAGCGAAGGTGATTCTTTTCAAACGGCCTTCTTTCTCACATCTCTGATCGGAAGAATTAAGACCTGTGGGAATCAATTAACCAGGCAACCAGGTTGGGGTAAGACCGCAGTGTTGTATGGTACTAAAATACCCTTCAGTTGGATAAATCTGTCTCAACCATTTTCTCACCGTTTATAAAGCAAAAATAAATCAACAACGACAAGAATTATTTTAGGTCACGATATTCATACACATCATAATCATTTCTAGATTCAAGATCAAGCATGTTGGTCCAGCACATCATTGATCCAATTTTGTTGGATGGTGTAATTGTATCCGTTTGAAAGAACGAAATACTATTCACTCATTTAGGCCGGATTCACCATCATCCGTCATCTTCAAGGCCGTCCAACGGTGTTCAGGGGAATCCAAAATTCGCTTTCACAGCCTAATGTCGGACACCAGTTTTTTATTACTCTTAATGCAGGTTTCAACGAAACTTAGGGAACTCTCCTACTATCGAGACGACAATGCAGTATTTTTTACTACGCTAGCAGAGCAGGTTGAGGACTTCTCCGTTACGCTTATGGATCAAATCAACACGAAAGAGGAAATCTCAATTGAGCACGAGGAAATCAGTGATATGGACCCATATGCGTCTTTACTTGATAGCATCACCGAATCAGCTATTAGCTTTTCGCAGAAAAAGGTATATAAACTTTATAATGATATGGCTGCTGGATTTAAACGTTCAACAAAAGTTGCTATTAACCGTGCTTATATACAACAAAGTTTTTCTACGTTTCCTGAGGCACAGAATATCGCAAGGTGCCGAAAAATATTGAGATTCTTCAAGGTATGAAAAAGGGTATGATTTTTAGGCCTTTTGATCTGAAAACGGGTACAATTTGTATAGACTTTGCCTATTTTGGTCTGGAATCACGGGCATGGTTTTCCAGGGAACGACGGGAGTGCATGAACGTATTTGTCGTTTCAATTCCAAGTGAATAAGAAAGAGAGTTAGAGTTATATGTGATTTCGAAATAGATTTTAAGGTTATGGGCTCCTGGTATGATGACAAAATTTTTCCTAGGGAAACGTATGTTGCGTTTGTGAGTCCTCCAGGTTGGAAGACGGATATGTATTTAGGGGGGCAGGTCTGAAAAGGGGTGTGGAAATGACATTTTTGGTCTGAAAATGGGGTCAGGATTTGGAGAACCGGGTGGCAAACCCCCACCAAGAGTAACCCCCCACTGGGAAATCAGCCTAGTCTGTCTGTAAGGAAATAAATATTTGCAGACAACAGGCCTTACGGAATAACTATTCAAAACCAAAAAAACGGGAAATGTAAATGAAAATCTGATAAAGAGAGGAAAACACTCTGTCGACAAAGCTTCTGTCGGCGATACATTGCGTGAAAGAAAGAAAAGAAAGAATAAAAATAGTACAAGATTTCAATTCGAAAGTAGTGATAATAGCAAAAATGTTTTACTTTCCAACAACTCAACTTTTTTGTGCTTTTATTTTTCCCTAGTTTGTATCCCTTCCACTGTCGTACAGACTGCTGACCCAAAGGTGGAACTATGGTTTGCCACTTGACTGTCAACCAGGGAAAAAATTGAGGTTTCTTGTATATGTATTTATCGTACTCGACACGATTTTAACTCCTGTGTTTCTTCCTCTTATCACATATGCCTTCTACAAGGACCAGGTAACCTGTCTGACTCGTGAAGTGGTTACACGGGACAAGAAAACATTAAGAGGTTCGTTACCGATGGAAGAACATTATTAAAGCCGAATTATATTCTTTACAAGCACTCCATTAACATAGTTAGAAACAAATAGAAATTCTCAAACTACATATATTTCAGAAGGACCCTAAATAGGCAATTGGCTCGTAAGCGTGTCAGTAGTAATTTATAGGAATTTTCGAGCAAGTGTTCAAAGGAATTGTGAACCTAGAACTTCCTGTTGCTGTCCCTGTCTCCTTACAAAAGGAGTTTATCAGAGATCTTAAGTTCCGACGGCGGCGATGGCAATGAGAACATAAAAAAAAGCTGAGCAAGAGGTTATATAATCAAAACACCAACTCTGTAATTAAGTGCATCACATGTATTTTTACAATTCTTTGCCGTCACTGTAAGACTACGACGTGAAAGTGCCTAATTCAATCTCTTTAATGGAGGACGTAAACAAGCCCCGAGGAAATTTTCTTTCTTTTTCTTCACTTGGATATCATATCTTAAAAGTTCCACTTTAGAAGACCCTCTGTAAAAACAAAGGAGACGAATTTCGTTGGAAGAAAAACATGAAGATTTCATAGCGGCGGTGAGAAAATGAGAAATGCTAGCGGCCACCAAGCTCAAATGAGCGGCAGTGAAAAACATAAAAGCGAACAGCAACTCAAGCAACAAAATTTTTCATTATGAGGACATACGACAATTCCTCCATAAAAAATAATGTGTAACGAGGAAGTTTCACGTTTTAGTCGTGCAAAACGGCATTGTAGTAGAAAAAACACATTNGGACCCTAAATAGGCAATTGGCTCGTAAGCGTGTCAGTAGTAATTTATAGGAATTTTCGAGCAAGTGTTCAAAGGAATTGTGAACCTAGAACTTCCTGTTGCTGTCCCTGTCTCCTTACAAAAGGAGTTTATCAGAGATCTTAAGTTCCGACGGCGGCGATGGCAATGAGAACATAAAAAAAAGCTGAGCAAGAGGTTATATAATCAAAACACCAACTCTGTAATTAAGTGCATCACATGTATTTTTACAATTCTTTGCCGTCACTGTAAGACTACGACGTGAAAGTGCCTAATTCAATCTCTTTAATGGAGGACGTAAACAAGCCCCGAGGAAATTTTCTTTCTTTTTCTTCACTTGGATATCATATCTTAAAAGTTCCACTTTAGAAGACCCTCTGTAAAAACAAAGGAGACGAATTTCGTTGGAAGAAAAACATGAAGATTTCATAGCGGCGGTGAGAAAATGAGAAATGCTAGCGGCCACCAAGCTCAAATGAGCGGCAGTGAAAAACATAAAAGCGAACAGCAACTCAAGCAACAAAATTTTTCATTATGAGGACATACGACAATTCCTCCATAAAAAATAATGTGTAACGAGGAAGTTTCACGTTTTAGTCGTGCAAAACGGCATTGTAGTAGAAAAAACACATTTTGAAAAAAAAATTGGGTGTCAGAACGCAGTTGCCTTGGCAACTTCAATGTTGATGCACACGTCAAAACGACGTTAAAATGTTTCCAGCTAATTTTTAGGAAAAGTCTTTGTGCTTGGTGGTCATAGCTTAAACTGTTTTGAAGTTATTCAATTTTTTTCGTCTTGGGGCGAGGGCTCCAAAAGCCCCCCGGTCTGATTAGGGTTACTATAAAACTCCCCATTGACCAAACGTTCAGCAACATCGTCTCTATAAACATATCCGAATACGTGTTTGGCACCTATAAATCCTAATACCCTATATGTACTTAAATCTGGAAACATTTATGAATCCAGTGCGTATATACCTAAGTAATGATATGTAAACGCGGAATTGGCCACGATGTCTAATTACTGGGTTCGACGTTACAACTTATCATGTTTGTCTTGCAGATATGTACCTGGACTACTTAACAACCCCCTTCGTCATCTTTTTAAAGGAAAAACTACAACAAGTAGTGTTCATAGCTTTACACATCAGAATATGTGTATTGGGGTCTTTTGTATCACCAAGAATCGAGGAATATCTCATTCTTGTATTTTACATCGGATTGTTGATCTCTGAGTTTCAGCAATATCGTACATCTCAATCCAAAGTTTATTTTCGGTAAGATGGCAAGGCTAAGACCTCTAATAAAGTAATTAACTTTCCCGTATAACCCTTCCTCAGACTTTCCTTATAATAGTCAATGAATGTTTATTAATTGCGAGTCAGAAGAGCTTTTGAAACCAGACTTAGCTTATCAGTGTTCCTCGGTCCAGCTGTCGGTCTGATTCTGACTATCTTCCAATGACGCGTGGGCTCCTCAACTGAGCGTAAGTTTTAAAAGAACTTTCATAAGGGGTCCAAATATTCAGCAATTGTCACAAACCTGAAAAAAAATATGTATTAATGCAGATCAAAGGGTTAAAGCACTTTTTTAGCACAAAACTATTACCTCTTCTGGAGCTACAGTGGTGGTTAGAGGGATTTGGATTCGCTTTTTTGCTCAATCCTCTATAAAATAATCATCTAGACACTGTTCTTTAGCAACATAAACTCAAGCAGCAATACAAATAAATATATATATATTATTCTAGAAAATAAAAAATAAAAAACAATTTTCACTTCTATTATAAGAATGATGAGTCCAACATTTGGATGCTTTAAATTATTTATGAAAATAACATACTGTAGTTAATGACATTTTGTTTTCCATGCTTTGTTGATCGAAAGGTAGTTTTTGTTTTCTTTTTTACTGTTTACGCCCGACTTACCGTGAAATTTTTACTTTGCTTACCGTATGTTAAAATGGTGTTCATTTGTAAAGTTGTTCTTCACAAAATACTTTTGAGTCTTGTCTTTCTTCTCCAGAAATATGTGGAACTATGTGGATGTCATTACCCTCTCCTGTCACGCTATCATATTTGTCCTCAGAGTTGCGTCCATCATTAAAGGTGGAGATCCGTACCATAACAGACTACTGGAGGTAATTAACTATCTCTACGGTGTAAACACTCTGCTCCTAGTCTTGAGGTTTTCAAGCATACTGGAATTAAACAAAACAGTTGGACCACTTCAGTTGGCTTTGTTCAGAATGATCGTCGACCTTATGATCATTTTAGTTCAGTTTGTGTTTGTAATTTTGGCTTTTTCTGTTGCCATCACAATGATCTACACCGCCGAGATGTCTTATTTGACGCCAGCACAAGAGGTGGAAACCAACCGGACCCAGGTTAAAAGGTGAGGCTAGCGCATGTTTTTTTTTCCTTTTTTT